GGACCGCGAAAGAGCGGGCGGCTCCGGTCTTCCAAATGACAAAGCATCGCTACCATTCCCGAGAAGCGAGCAGAGTTCCTCCGCTTTTCCGCCCGCAGCTGCGCGCCTCACACTGGCTTGCGCTTGGGTCCGGAATTTTGCCAGGAGATGGGCGTGGGTGCGGCCCGCAGCTCTGCGCACGCGCCTGAGCCACCTACGGACCCCTCCTTAGCGAGGCTCCACCCACCGCTCGGGCTCCTCCCATCGCGCAGGCTCCACCCTCGGCGCCAAGGGGGAAGAGCTGCAGGCTCCCTGCCTGAGGGCCCAAGATTCCGTGAGTTAGTTCTGAACGTTCTCATCTTTTACCATTAAATATTTAAGGAAATATTGCTGATATCTGACCTAGGCAAAAGACAATTTAAAAAGATTAAACCTCGTATATCTCACATTAATGTTTCTCAACCACCAGGCTATTGACATTTTGGACAGAACAGTTTGGGCTGCGTGTGCAGGCATGTGCTGTGCTTAAAAATTGCTTAAAAAAAAAAAAAGTTGGGTAGCATCCCTGGCCTCTCTCGGTTAGATGCCAATAGGATTTCCTCCTCTAATTCTGACTGCCAAAAATGTAGCCACGCACTGCCAAGCAGATTTGTGGAGGGGGGCAGAGTTGCCCCTACTGTCTCCTGCCCGATAGAATCAAGATCAGGAAGGAAACATTGCTCCATTAATGTAACCCAATATAGAGTTCGTACATTTTAATTTTCTTGATTGTTCCCAAAATATCTGTTTCCCCCCCCTTGGTAAAATATAAATCCCCAGCTTTTTTTGTTTGTTGTTTTTCCTGGAATTGATATTTTTTAAAAAGTTTAGACTGTTCTGTCATATCCAGTTTTACCTATTTTCAAATGACTACTTACTTGTTCTAACAGCATTTCATTTTAAAAAGCCTCCCCCACCCCCATGACTTGAGACATTACTTTTATCATACATTTCCACATTGTACTTGGGTCAGTATTTTATATTCTTCCCATTGATTATTCTGCACATTTATAAAATTTCTACTGTTTTAATTATAGGGATTATAGTGATTTCAAAAATCTCATAAGTTTAGGCCTGCTTCTTCACTAATATTGTTGCTTCTGGTTTGGATTCTTGCTTATTTATTTTCTACTGCTTAAACTAGGAGTCTAACTCCATAAAATAGTTTTAAAAAACTAGCATCAGTTTATGAGGTTGGACTTTTCCTGTTGAAGAGCAACGTTTGTTTTTCCTTTCATTAGAGTAGTCCCAGTTTTGTGTCTTTCAGAAAAGCATTAACGTTTTCTCATATAGGTTTTTCACATTTCTTGTAAAATTTACTCCCAGGACATTTCTATTTTATATTTGTAGTATCAGTGGGGTCATTTCTTCTATTTTTCCCTATAATTGTTTATTGCCTAAAAAAAGAACATATTGATTTTTACATGTAGTTTTATATCTTGTTACTATGTTTAATTTATTGATTCTAGTTTTCCATTGATTCTATTTGCATCTTTATTTATACTTTTTTTTATGTAATTGCAGTCAGTACTCATTTTGAAGCTCAAATTGCTTGTCATTCACCATGTTTCTATTTTTCCCTATAATTGTTTATTGCCTAAAAAAAGAACATATTGATTTTTACATGTAGTTTTATATCTTGTTACTATGTTTAATTTATTGATTCTAGTTTTCCATTGATTCTATTTGCATCTTTATTTATACTTTTTTTTATGTAATTGCAGTCAGTACTCATTTTGAAGCTCAAATTGCTTGTCATTCACCATGTTTAACTCTTCTGACTGATTCTATTTGCATCTTTATTTATATTTTTATGTAATTGCAGTCAGTACTCATTTTGAAGCTCAAATTGCTTGTCATTCACCATGTTTAACTCTTCTGCTTATTTGACACAACCTCAAATGTCTTGATCGGGTCATTGCTTTCTGACGTGCTCGACTCTCAGTCTCATGGCTTTCAGTGAAAGTGATATTTGGAGACTGCAATATATGCACTTACAGATGTTCATGGCTAAATGATTTGTCATTACTTCTCAGCCTTTTCAATACAAGATCTAGAAAATACATGCATTTTAAAAGAAAAAGAAAATAAAGCATGCATTTGTGATGCTGTTCAAGTGCTAATGAAAGCTTACAGGATTTTTTTTAAACTTATTTGATTTAATGTTTATTTGATTTAATCTCTCATCCTGAAGAGCATGGCTCCTGATGATATTAATGTGATTATTCATTTACTTTTCCTCATTATATTCGAGCTAATATAAGAATGCTAGTGCAGTCTAATTTAACTAGGTTTGTTTCAAGTTCTCAAATTTATGTTGCATATTTGATGGCAGTAAGTGCTATTGAGGAAAATAAAGGAGGATAGGAAATGCCAGGTGGAATGTTCCATTTTAAATAGGAGGTCAGAGAAAGCCTCACTCAGAAGATGATTTTTGCACAATACTTGAAGAAGGTGAAGGATTCAATCCTTTGGATAAATGAGGTAAAACTGCTCCTGGCAGAGAAAGAGAAAAATTGGCCAAAGGCCCTGAAGTAGGAGAGCATCAGTGTGTTGTGAAGAACAGCAAGGGTGGTGGTGGTGACCAAAGTGAAGTAGGCAGGGACAACGGAGAGAAGCTCAGGGTTGGGAAGCCAGGACCAAGGAGAAGTGCCACCTCCCTAAGCAAGACTACCTGCTTCAAGAGAAATTTTGGGGTCAGATGTTGAAATGCTGTTCCTGTTGTCATACCACACAAATACATTAATAATGATGGGAATACATTAATAATCCTGGAAGAACCAGCTTAGGTAGGTGAGGAGGGCAGGCTTTCTGGAATTTTATTTTGGGGTAACCAATAGTTCCATATTTTCTGACTTTAAACACCTTTGAAAGCCCATCCCTTTGCAATAACCTTTCAATCTACTCTTAAAATCGTTGATATTTCAATTTGTACTTTTTATTCTAACTCCAAACACATCAGATATAAATAACAATTATAGTTTTTGGCTATTTTTCTGAATCTCTGTTTACACATGAAGAATTTTATTGTGACATACATATCAACGAAATGTATCTTGACTAATGTTTAAAATGCAGAATGCATTAAACTGTTATATTCAGAAGCTTGGGAAAGTCCAAAAAATTATAAAACTTTTTTGAATTATTTTTTAAAAATCAAATATTTCCCATAAATTTTTGTTTTTTTCTAAAAGAAATCTGTGTTTTAACAGAAAACCATGTGGAGGAGAAAGTAGAATGAAATCGGTGTGAGTATATGAGGGGTGAATAAGGATGAATTAAATCTGTAATTCAGAAAAACAGTGTTCTGAATAGAAACAAAGGAGGGACAAACTTTATGTCCACATGTAGGATTACTTATCATTATGATTCATGTGGAAGCATTTCAATTTTTCTCTTTCCTTTTTCCTCCTTTCCCCCTTCACCTTTTCCTAAGCTAAGCTGTCACAGTGAAACACTATCTGACTAAGTCACAACTCAGAGAACACTGAACGGTGCATTGTAAAGTAGGACACAAAACAAAAGACTTCATCCGAGAGAGCTGAGATCATTGTACGGCCATACACAGCCCCAGTACAGCAATTCCAGTGTTTCTCGGGGACAGTCCTTATTCTCGGTGCGCTACTGTCCCCTGCTGTTCACATGAGAGTACTGACTAGAAATTAAGGCTTTCCTCCCGTTGCATAAATTCAGAGATTTAAAAAGAGTAATTGAAGGAATTGCTCTAAAGGAGTAATTCTGAGTATCGAATGAATTTTAAAAGTTTATTTTCTTATTCTCTTGTATGTGAAAAAGAAATCTGATCCCGTTTTCTGGCTATTGAACCCAGTTTCCCTTTAAAATTTTCGCGTGAGCCACACACAGGCAACTGAGGGAGAGGTAAGTTGGTAAAGACAGAGCAGAGAATAGAGGGAAACAAATGGAACACAAAATGTACAAAAGGAAGAGAAAATGAACAGTTTACATGCAATGAGAATAGAGCAGTTCAGCCCTGAATAGATGGTATGCGTTCTCAGGGAGCTTGGCGGAAACTGGCTCCCCTGAAGGGAGCCTTCCGCTCTGCGGCCTTTTTTTCCGGGACTGATCACGGAAATTTCTCAGAAAGATTAGGGTATGGCTGGGAGCTTTGGAAGCAGCACAGAGGCGCACGGTCTGCTGAGCTGATAAAGGATTTCCTTGACAGTCTGAAGAGCATAAAGAGGCCGGGGCCATTTCCGGGAGCCGGGAGCCGGGAGCAGATGCTCTCTCCTGAGCACTCCCCTTTAAGCCCGCTGTAGGTTCCAAGGTTTCAGAGCCTGGCACACGCCCGAACGCCAGGGTGACCAGAAGGGTTAACAATGGAGATAATTAAAGAACCTCACAATTGTTCATCCTTGCAAAGTCACATAGGCGTATATATTTAAAACGGTGCTATGGAAATGCTGAAAATATATCAATAAATAACCCTGATAGACATAAAAATTTTGTTTTAAGCTGGTCCAAATGAGATCTGTGTTTAAATGGCATCTTCCCTCAATAATAATTGCCTTAGGCTTCTGGATATTCAAAAGTATTTTGTATTCATGAAGCTTCTTTTATAATTGATGTGGATATTGGCTTACAGCCCAACTCTAATTTGTAAGCGGAAATTTCATTTATTTATTCATTTCACAATTACATATTTACCATGAGCAAGATACGATGGTAGGGATTGATTTTACGTTAATTTTAAAGCTTACTTATATTCTTGTGAGCTCCGTTTGCCTAAATCTCAAAAATGCCTGTGTGCAGAAGAGATCAGGGCCCCATCACATGGGCCTTTCACCCTGTGGCAAGATCTCTGCTGTGGAACTTTTGTTTTTTGGTATTAATATCACATCTAATGCAAAACAGGCAATATAATGGAGACCCCAAAAAGGTGGATTGGACAAATAAAACACCATGTATACATGCATTGCTCTTTCTGAGGACATTTCTCTTCCTTTCCCTGCTTTCCCTGAGTGTTAAGGCCATTTCAAACTCTCAGGATATCTTTCCTAGGACAAGGCAAAATCTTTTCTTTAAAAAGCATGTAGTATATTCCTTCCAGAATTTGACTGAATATTGATCTGAAGCATCGTAACACAATAATGAAATGTGATTCAAATCATTTTTGTAATTAAATCTTCAAGTTCATACTGGAGGTTGGGTTGATATTTATGAGAATATCTATTTTATACTAATCTTTACAATAGTTTTCAGTTTTCCTGGTAGGCAAAATTAGGCTTTGAAGAAACAGTTTGTGTCTAGGATCTGCTGCTGATGGGTTCTCTGAGA